TGAAGGATGCATGTAGGGAGTTAGAAGAAACCATCAGTACAACAACTGCACACAAAATTAAGCCGAAATCCCTTATCCAAAGACTTAAAAGAGATACGGATGATGGAGCAGTCATGTCGGGAGAAGAGTCTGATGACAGAAGTAAGAATGTCTCAACTAATGTCAATGACATTAATTCCAGTTCCAGTAAAGAGGAGGAAGATTGATGCCAAGATGTGCTACTAGTGGGTGGCTCAGATTACTAGTTGCTGAGTTGGTGTTGTGAGCTGCTGATTTGAGAAGGTGTTTGTAATTTGTGTTAGTCTTATATTCTTTTTCAGCATGAACTTGTGATGCTCTTCATGAGCCGTAATGTGCAAAGCCCCAAACAGATGTAATGTTACTCATTATGGTCTATACTATGTTATTAACTTGGATAATAATTTGTGGCTAAAAAGGGGGAGAGAGTATTGCTAGATAACAACAGGTTGAAGAACAGGTTGAAGACTTGCTTGTGCTGCTAATGCAAGTATAAGCTGCTGCTTGAGCTGATGCTATGCTTCAACTGTGTTGATATATGCAGGATGCTGATCTTGTTGTGTGATCCTAATAGTATTAGGAGTGTTTGTGTGGTATGCCGGTGTGTTACTGCTAATGTGCAGGTTATGCAGTAAACATGGTTGCGGTTGTATGACTTCCTAGTAGGAGTAGGAATGTTAGAACTACTTGTGTATGTTTGCTGAAGCTGCTAACTTGTGTGATCCTAGAAGGTGTTTAGGAGTTGTGTGTGTATCTGCATTATGTTAACGGATTGTGAGTGTTGTGCATCTCTTCAGGAGGAGTAACACAAGATAGTCCACCGAAAGGTGAGACATCTATAGTCTAGGAAATGGTGTACTTCAGGAAGTTATCCTGAATGTCTTAACATCCAGAGAGACCTGGATATATGTGTGACTGCAGGACTGCAGGTTGTGTGCTCAGCTGAGAGGATATGCATAAAATGCATCAGTTGAGGGGGAGTAACCCAGAATGTTACTTAGTATAGTGTGACATTTGTAGTGTTGACTAATAGATGGTATTGTGAACAGGTTGATCCAGAGAGCTAACAGTGTAAGTGTGTGTAGACAACACTGAGGGTGTAGCTTTCCTGCATGGTAGGTTAAGACTTCTGCTGCTTGTAAACTCTGATATGTTAACAGGGTGTTTTAGCCAAAAAATTAGCCAAAGGGGGAGTTTGTAAGTGCTTTTGATTGGCTGCATTCTATGGCAAAACATTAATGTATGAGTAAATGTCATAACTGATGTTAGGACATACATGAAGAGTGTTATGCAAGGAAAACTATGAGTAAGTAAAGATGAATGCCATACTGAATGTCATGACACTGATCGTATGACATCATTCGTGTAGAGTTTGTTTTTCTGGTATTCAGAATGAGGAAGCTCAGGCTAGAATTCAGGAAACTTTATAGAAGCTCAAGCTGGAAGTCAGGAAACAATTGAGAAACCCTGGAGAAATTAAATATACCTGACCTAAGTGGTAAGTGCAACTTTTTGAAGAGAGGTTTGGGTAAACCTAATTGCTGCGCCAAGGCCCAAAGCAGGTCTGCTATTATAAATAGCAGAAGGATCATTACAACCGATACACACACAAAGGAGAGAGCATCTAGTGAGAGATCATAAAGTGTGTTTGTGAGTGAAGAACCTTGTTCTTCACACGAGTCTAGGAGTCTTAGGATTCTTTGTGTGTCAAGAAATTGTATGTTATAGAATTGATGTGGTTATTGTGTCTGAACAGGTGTGTTCATTGAAGTCACTCAAAGCTTTTAAGCAAGAGTGTGTGTCTCTTGATCAAAGCTATGAAGCAAGATCAAGGTGTGTAGTTGAAGTGTATCTTCATAACTTTTCTATAATTGTGTATTAATATCACTGTGGTGTGATTGAGGGGGAGTGAGTGGGCATACTCAGGTCTAAAGTGTCTCTAGGTTGAAGTGTCATTGGGTAGGTCTTAAGTGAGGAGTGCAAACTGGGATTGTTTGGCTCTGAATTAATTCTACTGATAGTGAATTTCCTCCCTGGCTTGGTAGCCCCCAGATGTAAGTGTTGTTGAAACTGAACTGGGTAAACAATTACTATGTTATTTACTGCTTTCCTTTACAGTTTTTAATTATTCCAATAGTCTGTGTTACAGTGGATGTTATAACATCCGTGATAACATCCATCGTGTGCTTGCCAGAATTTCAAGTATGATGAGATCTTTGTGCAAAAGGAGATTCATTGGTATGAAAAGGCTAGAGATGATTGGATTAAATTGGGAGATTGTAACACCAAATTTTTTTTTCATACCAAGATGGTAATCAGGCAGAAGAGAAATAAGTTTCTCGACCTTTATCTTCCTAATGGTGGTTGGTACAATGATGACACTGATATCAGGGAATAAGCATTGGCTTTATTTAAAGGTCTTTTATGACCTACATCTCCTATACTCTCCGTTAGTATGGGTGACTCAACTATGACTTTGATCTTTACTGAAAAAGGCCAACGCTCTTTGACTCAGTAGGGGACGATGGAAGAAGTTACTTATACTTTGAATCAAATGCACCCTTTCAAGGAATTTGGCCTTAATGGATTCTAGGGTATTTTCTTTAAACTGTTTTGACATATATTTTGAGATGACGTTGTCCAACTTATATCAGATGCTTTTGTGACATGTAGCTTTCATTCCTCTCTTTCTGAGACTCTTATCACATTAATTACTAAGGTAGATGCCCCCAAAATTTTAAGGAATTGAGGCACATTAGCTTCTGCAACACTATTTAAAAGCTTATTATGAATATTATGATCAACATATTGTGTCCTTATCTAAACCAGATAGTTGAACCCTTCTAGAGTAATTTTTTCCTGATAAAGGGACAACTTAACATGCCATTATCCTCAAAGAATAAATTCATCCTATATGTAAATTTAAAAAGAAAAAAGCTGACATGACGTACAAAATAGATCTTGAAAATTTCTATGATCATATTAATTGGGATTTCTTGAAATCTTGTTTGAAGCGAAAAATGTTTTCTCTCATTACTATACAGTTGATCATGCACTGTGTAACTAGCTCCTCTATGTATATTCTTTGAATTAGGAGACAACTACCAAATTTTATTCCAACTAGAGGATTACGGCAAAGTGACCGTCCTCCTTTCACCCAATCTCTTTATTTGTTACAAGTGATTGGCATAATTTTATAAACAACATGTAATGAAAGATGTCATGATATCATGTTGAAGCATCTTTTCTATATGAGCTCAAAACAAAAGGAAAACACGTGGATCAAAATGTCCTACACATTGAGGAACATCCTGCCTCAGAAGCCATCCGTCCAAAAGTAAACTCGTGCCTAATTTGTTTCCTTTATTGTTTGATTATTTATGCACTTTTTCGATTAAGGAAAGAATTCTCAAAGATCAATTATCAAGACCAAATCAGACAAATGGATATTTAATTTATGATAGATTGCAAATCAAATTAAATTTTATTATTGAGATGTGCTTTTTGAATTTACTTCAGGCGTAAGTATTGATCAAAACCCTAATATGTCATCCATATGGATTCTTTGATATTTGAGGAGAATGTCTCCATGCAGAAAACCCGGACCTTTAGACAACAAGCAAATCGTGTGTTAGTATTTTGAGTCTTTGTGGTTTTAGCTGTTAGATTGTGAAAACTCTATTTGCGATAATCTTGTCTTTGTAAAGCGATAAAGTTTGTCTTGAGTTGTAGTAGTTTCATCATTCACACTTTTTGTTTCTGTCCAAACACTTGGAAAAGTGGTTGAGAGGAAGTGAGAAGAGTCTTATATTTAGGGGGAATCCTAATAGAAGTTCACGGATAGTATTAAGAAAAAAAAAACATTGAACTAAAAGAGTTCATCTAAGACCAATTTGTATTTTTACTATTAAGAGTGAATTTTCTTTCTTGAATTAACACACTTCAGACATAAGTGATATTGCACCAAACTGAGTTATCCACTCTTTGTTTTCATTTTACTTTATTTGCACTTTAATTGTTACTACACTAATCTTGTCACATATATTACCCGAGACATCGTGTTTGACATCTTTTCAGAAGAATAGCAGAATTTCTGTTGGTATCAGAGCAGACACATTATGCAATCTATTAATTCTGTTCAAAATGGATAACGCTAAAGAAAAAGGATCTGTAAATCAGACACCTAATCTAGATAACACGAATTATGACTATTGAAAAGCTCGCATAATTGTCTTTATCAAATCCATGGACAACAAAACTTTGAAGGTGATGACACTTGTCATTACGTGATTTTTATGAGAAAAATCGAATTAATTCGGAAGAATAATGAGCAAAAGCAAGGTCAAAGTGTGAAGAAATGAATAAAAATCCACAAGAAAAAAATAGAGATTTAGTGAAAATATTGAAGAAAAAAAACAAGGCAAAAATTCGTTTACATTTTGATTTTTATGATATTGGTTTCACGTCAACATTTCACATTTCAATTTTAAGTGAACTCGGTGAAAAAGAATCATGAACTAAATTTTATCCTTTTAGGCTCTTACCATACTTTAAGCATCCTATCGGACCAGCAAAGAAGGGAAAAATATTGTTTAGAAGTAGAGACAATAAACAAGGATTAGTCTCGCTTAATTTAAGTACTGAGATGATTAGTAAGATTAATGTTGCATGAGATGTATTTGGTTGTATGTTTAGTAACATACTATTCCATAAACAAGCATTCTTCCAATTGGAGGAATACAAAATTAATTTTTTTTCTACTTGTTTTCACCTAAGAGATATATTATTCTCATCACCAGTAGTAACAGTTGGTTTGATGGTAGCTAAAACCTTAATAGTTATAACACAAAAGCTGTAAATCTTATTTTCATAGGTAATTTATAACTCAAAACTAGCCTACAGAAACTCACAAACACATTATTAGCAGTACAATAAAAAAAGACAGAAGCTTGCAACACAAGTAAACCAAAGTTCATTAGTCGCTAATTCAACAGTTGGCCAAGTGTGATGATGCGGAATGTCTCCATTGATTGTAATTTTGGCATCACAAACATGTTGTACACTTGTTTCATACTCGGTCGAGAACGTGGATTTTCAGTCAAGCAAGCAAACGCCAATTTTGCAACCAAGATCACATCCTTAGCGATTGAATTTTCGGGAAGAGGAAGTCTTTGGTCTAATACATCTTTCAGTAGCAAACCATGAGCTATTGGTTCCTCGGATGATGAAAACAACGTCGAAATAAGATCTCCAGGATGCATTCCCATTATTATTTCCAAACACAGCACTCCGAAACTAAACACATCACATTTCTCATTCACTACATTCGTATACGCAAGCTCTGCAATAAAATAAAGGATACAAAGAGTTGAACTTGAATTTTTTGATAAAATTAACGGTTAAACTAAGGACGCTTGAAATAGTTTACTTTGATTATAAAAAAGGGCCTAACCTGGCGCTGCATAACCATACGTGCCTGCGAATGTTGTTGAGTTATGCGAGTCAAGATTCAAAATCTTGGCTGTTCCGAAGTCTGAGATATAAGCTTCATAATCTAAATCTAAAAGAACATTTTTGCTCGATATGTCGCGATGAACAATAGGCGGAAAGCAACCATGGTGCATATAATAAAGAGCATTTGTCACACCCTTAACAACATTCACTCTCTTTTTCCAATCAAACATTGTTACTTGTGTATCATTTCTCAACACATTATCCAAGCTCCCTCCTTCAAGGTACTCGTACACCACAAAAGAGTGGCGCGTATGCGAGCAAAATCCATGTAACTTCACAATGTTGCGATGTTTGATTTGTGTCAATGCTTTAACCTCGTTCGTAAAAGCCTTGAAGTTATGCATTTCACTGTCAATTTCAGCATGAAGTTTTTTCACAGCAACAACTTGTCTTGAGGGTAAATTAGCTTTGTAAACCGAACCAGAACCGCCTTCACCAATAAGATATTTCTCATTGAAATCCTCGGTTGCTTCGATGATATTTTCGTAAACCATTTTTCCATCATAACTCCATATGGAAAAAACATCATGAATTTGTTCTGGTTCTTCTCTAGCTTGCTTTTGAATTGTTCTTGCATTTTTCAAATGAATATACAAAGAACCACCAAACAAGAACACAAAAACAAATAGAATACTCAAAGTAACAGATAGTGACAATATCACACTTTTGTGTTTACCATTTATGCAAGGATCCAAGCCTGAAGCATTACCACACAAGCCTTTATTGTTTCTCAATGATTCAAACGGCGCATTAAGAAATGCTTGGTTGTTAGGAATCGAACCCTCTAATCGGTTATAAGATATATCAACAATTGTCAAGCTTATCAAATACTCAAAACTAGACGGAACGATTCCATGGAACTTATTGTGAGAGATGTTCAATGTGTTCAACCTTTGCAACTTTCCAAGTGATTCAGGTATTTCTCCGCTTAACGAATTTCCATCAAGATCAAGATTTTCAAGAGATTGCAACCTGTTAAATTCATGTGGAATGGTCATGAACTCATTATTGCTCAAATTCAGTTGAACTAATTTGTGAAGCTTTCCAATTTGCTTTGGAATTGAGCCACTTAGTTTATTTGCTGCAAGATTCAAGATGCTAAGTCCTTGCATGGATCCTATTTCTGCAGGAATCTTTCCAGAAAGTTCATTGTTACTCATGGAGAGTTGAAACAATGAAGTCAAGTTACAAAGCTCTTTAGGAATTTTTCCTGTTAGATGATTTGAAGAGAGTTGAAGCAATTGTAACCGAGATGATTGACCTAATTCCGAAGGTATAGCACCGGATAATTTGTTATGCGAGATCAACAGGCCAATTAGATTATGACTTTTCACCAAATTCGGCGAAATTTCGCCATAAAAATGATTGTGACTCAAATCAATGTAGCTCAAATTTGGATAAACACCAAAATCATCTGAAATATTTCCTATAAACATATTTTCCGCGAGGTTGAGTCTAAGAAGGGTTGAGCAATTCTTCAAGCTTCTTGGAACAAAGCCACTGAAATGATTGTGATTAGCCGAAAAATTTCTCAGCAAACCACCAAGGCAAATACCATGTGGCAAATGGCCAGTGAAATCATTTGAACTTAGTTGTAAACTTTGCAAATTGGTAATATTTTTCATTGATTCTGCAATGCTACCATTGAGTTTGTTATTGTAAAGTAATAGAAAGGTTAGTTTGGTCAAATTTCCAAATGTAGAAGGAATAGGACCAGAAAGATGATTTTGTGAAAAAGCAAGTCTTTCTAGATTGATCAAGTTTCCTATTGAAGAAGGAATTGATCCAGAAAGTTGGTTATCAGAAAATGACAATTCAATGAGTTTTGTCAAGTTTCCAATAGATGAAGGAATTGATCCATGGAGATGATTCTCACTAAGCTGAAGTGTCCTCAAATTCACCAAGTTTCCTATCGAAAATGGAATTCGACCGGAAAAATTGTTCTTTAACAATTTGATAGTTCGAAGAGAAGAGATCGTGCCTAACTCAATAGGAATCGGTCCAGAAAGAGAGTTTCCGTATAGAACAAGTTTTTCTAACTTCATCAAGTTTTTTAATGAAGGGATTTCGCCGGAGAGATAATTGGCTGATAAATCAAGGTCAACAAGATTCATCAACATTCCAACTGTTGAAGGAATGGAACCATTGAAAAGATTATGATTCATTTTTAGTATAGAAATTTTGGATAAGTTACCAATTTGATGTGGAATATTTCCATGAAATGAGTTGTTACTCATATCCAAAACTTGAAGCATAGGAAAAGATGACAAGTTGAGACTTGAAAGAGTACCTTTAAGACCAAAGTTTGTAACATTTATAACTGTCACAAATTTGGTTTTTTCATCACAAGTAATTCCTTCCCATTTGCAAGGACTTGAAAGGGTTTTCCAAGAAGATAATGAAGCTTGGCTTTGGTTGTCAAGGTTGGTTTTCCAATTTAATAGAGCAAATGCTTCTTCACCACTACCTTGATGTTGTGTAGAATTAGTGGCAGCATAAGCAAAGGAAGAAAAAATGAGAATGCCATAAACTTGGATGGTAGAGAGACTTAAAAGTGAAGAGAAAAACATGATGAGAATGGAATGAAAAGATAGAAGCTTTGTGGACATTGTGTTTAAGGTGTAGAGTGATTTTCATAAGGTTTTAGGAATAACTATACAAAAGATGTTTTGCATGCTTAGTTATGTTGTAGTAGTACACCATTGCTATGGTCCTAAGTTTAAGTAGGGTCCTGTCATTTAATTTTTCTTGCTGGAATTAAAACATGTCATTCTCACCTTTCATATTATGTCTAGTGTGTCATCATTGTTACAGTTTAATGGTTTAAAATAGATAAAAATTCATCTTATCATCTTAACATAAGTTATTAACATGCTAAACACCTTATTTCATTTTGTACTTGACAATAATCTCTACTAAAGTCTATCTAAAAACATTAGTATGTGATTGTAAGGATCTCTTCTAATTTAATCAGAAGTTCTCGATTCAAACTCAGTCCTGAATACGTAACAATGTTAAATTTCATGACAAACGTTTTCGTGTCTATTGTGATTCTCCATGTCTTAAGAGATTGATCTCTGCAATCGCTCACATTTGACTTGAAACTTTTAGAAAAAAAACCTCAAGTGAAGTCTCTTAAAATATTTAAAAGTATTCGTTATCTAAAATAATATAATTTATTAATTTGTTAGAACTAAATATCACTATTTTCTAATGGATGGAGGTTGCTCTCTGTTATTTTTTAAAATGGTAAAAAAATATTTACATAATAAAAATTAGGGGTGACAAATTGAATGGATTGGATGAATATGGATTGAATTGTTAATAGATGAATCAAAATAATTCATTAGTCCAATAACAATTTACTAAAATTTTCTTAAAATTATCCAATCCAATCCATCAGTTAAGAATAAAATTTATCAAATCCATCCGATAACATATTTTTAAGGGATACTGGATGGATATCCATCCATCCAACTTTATTTTTTTATTTTGAAAAAACAAATGTATTTTTTTTAAAAAAAATCGATTTTATTTTATTTTCAAAAAATTCGTTTTTTGTATTTTAAAAAAAAATGTTTTTTTAATATATTCATGAAAAAATTGAATTTTTTGTTTTAAAAAAACCGTTTTTTGTTTTTTCATTAACTTAATCCAATCCATTAACTTACTTTTTATGTGGTGGATAGATTGGATGAATTTTTTTATGGATGGATTGAATGAATTTTACTTTAATGGATCCAATTGTCACCCCTAATAAAAATACAAGGTATGATTTATGAATAAATGATAGAAAAATATATTCGAAGAATTAAAATGACAATATGCTCTCTAATTCGATGTGTTACTAAACTTAAGTTTAACGTACTGTAAAATAGCATGTGTTGTTAGATTTAATTTGTTTTGTTCATTTTATTTAAGTTGGTGATGTATAACCCATAGAGATGGAAAAGCTTAGTTGAAGAGCTTTTGAGTGAACTCCTAGAAATGATAACAAAGAAGACTGTAGAAAAGAATTAGATTTTTTTGAAGAACGAAGTGATTGAAGCATTTTGAGCGAAGCTTTAGTGAATAAAAAATGTTGTTCAAGTATAATAAGAAAGTCTTACCTAGGATTTTCAGTTTTAGAGATGTTGTCCTTGGAAGAGCAAATGTCGGTCACAAAAATAAGGTGAGGATTAACCCCACTTATAATCGAGCTCAAGGTTAGACAATTGGAGCATGGAAAAAAATGGTGGATAGCCCGATAGCAGAAACCAAAATAGGTGGTCCACCGGATCTTAAAGGAGACTCTTGATACCATGTTAAGAAATGTGATTTGGTCTAACTCAATCCTACAAAATCGGTTGGTAGGGTGAGGATTAACTCCACTTATAAACACATGTTTAAACCATATATTATTCGATGTGGGACTCTTAACAATATAGAATCACCTCTAGTATGGGAAATGGAGACTATAGTTTAGAAAACCTTTTGGGGAACGCAATACCCCAAATATGAAATGCAACCAAAGTTAAGTATTTTATATTTAAGTGTCAATCATATTTTGTAAGGATCACAATCAAATATATATCAATTAAGCACCATTTACTTTATTATTTTTCACTGTATCAAAGAAGGAAGAATCGAACTTTTTTCCAAAGAAACAAGGTCGAAGGCCGAAAGCTATTACGGTCACTTTATTTTCATTTATATTTCTCACAGTATCAAAAAGAAAGATCTGAACCTATTTTCCAAGAAAAAAAGAACGAAAATCGAAAGTCAATGCCATGTAAAACAAGAAAATCTCGTTTGATAAGTAAGCCACCATTAGAAAGAAAGGTCTCTTCTCCAGCGATCCACCCTTTCGAGATTTTTAACCGAGAAAGGGAAATAACAAGGACACCCTTGGAGGGTACATCCTTATAAGTACATATGTTGATTTAAAACAAACAAATGGAGACAATAATTTAAACATAATAAAATAAAACTATGTACATCCAACAGTACTTGTTCAAGATTACAACAAAAGATCGTGATCAAAAGTCCAAAGAAAAACAAACGTCAATTGTGAGGGGTATTAAACTAAGTGCCCCTCTAAACTCAACGTATCCAGTCAATTGTGTTGCAAATTTAAATTGGAAATTGGGTTGAGGAAAGTAATTTGAGAAAAAGTCGTGTCTAACCCTTGTTTACACGAAGTAAATAGATTGTCAAGAACAACCACAATGGTCTTCACCTATTATCTCGCCTCCTTCAGTTTATTTTTTAAGAACTCTTGACTCTCTCGAAACGAGTAAAACTATTTTTCTTTATTAGCCAAGGCCTTTTTAACTTCCACTTGGCCATCCTTCGGAGTATTTGTCTCCTTACTCAACTCGTCCCTAGACTTGTGAGTTTCCTTAAGATTTTCCTCCAAGGTCTTAACTTTAGATCGGGCATTCACCTCCTTGGCCTGAAATTCTTCGTTTGTCGTAAGCATAACACCAATACGAGTTAAAGCCTTGACAAGATAAAGAAGACATTCTATGAAGGCATGTATTTGGCCATAAGCCTATAAATCTATATAAGTGTATTGACATGTGTCAGAGGTTATTCCTAGATGAAGTTGAAAAGGGGCTAGCAAAGGCATAGACAAGTTTTCCTTTTTCATAACCACCAATAGTGACTCTTTTTCTCATTTTGAAAAGAAGGGATTCAATTGAACAAGGAGAAGTTATTGCATTCACAACTACTGACAAGGGACTTTCCCTATCACCAGAAGTCAAATTCTAAAAAAGATATCTATTTTCACCAGATTTGCTCCAACTTAAGCCCGAGACTTATTTTGATCTTTTATTTGCTCTGCATAATGTATAAGATCTACTAGAAGGAGAACAAAAATTCATCAAGACTTTAGCAAGGAAATAATAAATGTGTAAAAGATATGGGGATCAATAAACATACAATCAAGTTCTTATCCTTTTCTAATCTGTGGTAAAAAGTAAGGGCTAAGTAACCACACAACGATCCATCATTACATAAGTCTTATACTTATAATCATTAAACGAGACCTGGCTGAAGCCACTAACACAATTCTTAAGGGAAAAAAGAATTTTTCCTCTCCTTTCTAAAAACATCTAAGAATTTAAAGGTACGGTGTGTTTTCCCTCAACCATAAATATCCTAGCTCCAACACACAAAAACTCAAGATTGCATTCAACATTTGAATATCATTCTCCAAAACTACATATATTGGAATGAGCTTCAATCGTAACTGGATCCGTCACCATATAGCAAAATTTAGAATTCTTTAAAGATTCAGTAAACGTGTCAAACAGTTTGAAACATTTATTTAAAATAAACCAAGCCAAATGGAGAAGAGGAACATTCCCAACTAACTGCGAAGATGTAAAAAAAACTTTAACATAAACCTCTTGATCCGGATAAACATTAAGATTGAAAAGCTTACACAAACGCCCAAAAATTAGGATGCAATTGCGAGGACCCCAAGACCAAATATTAAAGAATATCTCAATTTAAAAAGGTGAAGGGTAAGAAAAATCCTTTTTTTTGGAAAACCACACCGAACATGGGAAATGTTGGATGAGGGAAATTTCGACATATTTTATTTGTGAAATAGGGGTTAGTAATCTTCCAAGTATTAGAAGGACCCCATACTTTAGTAACAACATCATAGTTTTCCAATTTTATCAAATAAGAGTATAATGAAGGCTTTCTTGAGTAGATATCATTTACCCATGAGAAGAAGATGCACCCACCTCCTCATTTAGAACATGTTTGAGTGAGTATCTCATAACATGAACTATTGCACCTAGATACACAAAGAAAATAGTGAGATGCAAATGGAACAACCTCATATACTCATCGCCCCTCCTAGAAAACAACCACCAGGCTAGTTTGGATAAAGACAATGAAATACAGAGAATACATAAACAAATGAAAATATTAATCAAAGAAGAAGTAAGCTAAGAATACTTCGAGTACAGTTTTGGAAGATGACATGAGCAACTTGAAATGATAGTAACAAAATAGATGAATGACATCAAAGATGAAAGACTAGAAGAATTAACCCTATGAAGGATTTATACTCATAGAAAGAAAAAAAATGGAGAGAAAAATCAAACATTTGAAGTACAAAGTAGTGGAAAACTGAACATCAACCAACTGATAAGGCACATGTGGCCAAGGGCATTGTCAGAGTCATGATACCAAAGATAGTTTCTAGGGAACCCATTATGGGACCTATGAATAACCCATCATGCTACTAACCTTAGATTGACATATGAAAAACGACTAAAGAGATAGTGATCGAGGATTTATGCCGACCATTAAGAGTAAGGCTTAAGGATACCTAAAAGCTAAAAGGAGAAAATATAGAAGAGATGAGAGAAACTCCCCTCCAACCCTAACTATGATAAACTACAACCCAAATCAAATGCTATCTGGTCGAGTTTGGGGGTTAATTGTTCCTACCTAGACTAAGACAAATGTGAAGTCGATCTGTTAGCATAATAATTTATGGATTTAGGTCACAAATGATTTAAGCTAATCTTGACCCCACAAGAAAAAATCCATATACACCCAAGAGGCTGAGATACCGATAAAGATGATGTCATACCAATGACGT